TTACCCCACCTTTTCACCCCCTCCCTCCTACCTTATTTTTTTTTTCATTTCCCCTATCCCCCGACCCACCTTATTTTTCTCATCCCATCCCTTTTCCCCTCTCGACCCCTCCCTCCCCACCTTTATCCCTCTCGCCCCCACCCCTTTTTCCCTCTCGCCATTCCCTCCCCCACCTTTACCCCTCTCACTCCACCTCCTCTTTTTCCCTCTCATCCCCTCCCCCCCATTCCCCCCGTCCTCCACCTGAACTACTGTATCCCCAGAACCTTTCCAGCCATGTATGGACACCGTCAGGGCAGACCCGCCCACCGCTGTGTGTCAGGACGGCTACTGGTGTGACAATCTGCGAGAACGTTGCACGATCCTGTTGCCCGTGGGTCTATAATATTATTTCTCTCTGGTTTATATTGATATTCTTTAGTTAAGTATTTTACCTTTTGGTTGTTTTCGTCGTAGTTTTTTTCTTTTTTTGGCATCATTTGTTTGGGTTTTTTTGCTGTCGTGGGGATTGTTGTTGTTGTTGTTGTTGTTGTTGTTGTGTGCGTGTGTGTGTGGTAGCCTATCCGTTCGAAATGTTTGGAGCCCCGAAGAGCGGGTGAGGCAGTCCAACCTCCCTGAATTCTCCCCGAAGAGATGCCACTGCCGGACTGTTGTTGTTGTTGTTGTTGTTGTTGTGGGTTGTCGTTATTTGTTATTGTTGCTCTTTTGGGGATTGCTGTTGTTGTTGTTGTTGTTGTTTTTGTTGCGGGGGTTGTTGTTGTTGATGCTGATGCTGCTGATGCTGCTGTGTTGGTTGTGGTAGTGGTGGTGGCAGCAGTAGTTGTACAATGTAGTGATGGTGTGTGATTGTTGTTGGTATTGATTTAGCAATAGTAGTAGTAGTAGTAGTAGTAGTAGTAGTAGTAGTAGTAGTAGTAGTAGTAGTAGTAGTAATAAAATAAGCCGCAGTAGTCATAGTAGTAGTTGTTTTTGTAGTAGAAGTAGTTGTTGTTGCAGTAGTTGTTGTCGTTATTGTTGGTGTTTGTGATTGTGACGGTGATTATGGGTGTCGTGGTGGTGCTGTTGAGGCTGGCGATAGTGTTGTCGTTGCTGCTGTTGTTGGTGAACGTGATGTTGTTGCTTGTGACGTGCGTGTGTATGCTATTGTCGTCGTTGTGGTGGTAATGCTTGTTGTTGTTGTTGTTGTTGTTGTTGACGTTGATGTTAATGTTGACAGAGATACGTTCGATTTGAATCAGGTGCAAATGTTATAGCTGTTAGTTTTGTTTTAGTAAGAGTTTTACGGTACTTGCAACACAATAAGGTCATCTAAGTGCCGAAGATTAGAGATGTTTCAAGAGAGTAACAAACACAAAAAAGAAGGAGGGAAGAGATAGAAGGGCGATAGAAGTTTTATAAGAACGAAGAAGCAAACCCACACCAGAGCACCCGCCGCCACCCACATAGTTGTTATTGTTTTTGTTGCTGTTGTTGATGTTGATAGCCATATCGTTAGATATTATGCAGGTGTAAATATTATTGTTGTTGTGATGGCAGAGATGGTAGGTGGGTGCTCTGGTGTGGTTTGCTCCTTCTTTCCTGTCAAACATCTATCATCCTTATCTCCCCTTTTTTATGTTTGTTACTCTCTTGTAACACCTCTAATCTCCTTGCGCTCATATGACCTTATGCAGTTGCGAGCGCCGTAAAACCTCTTCTAACACTGAACTAAGAGATGGTAGCGGCGGCTTTTTCGTCATTTCTCTTGTTGTTGCTGCTCACAATCGTGTCACAACGCGCTAGAATCAGGCGCTCGTCAATTTTTGGGCATGTGGAGTTTTCAGTTTCATCTTAAAGTTTGTTTATTTGTCTGGCTTTCGATGAACCCAGGTATCTTGAGTGCAAGTCGAGGAATTTGCAACTGGAGTTGGGTGACCTAGTTTCAGAGGTGAAAGTAGCGAGAGAATTGACGTCTTTAAGTTTGATCACTTGCGCCGCATCATTAGCCTATTTTTTAAAATCTATGATTGATTTTCTAAGTAAATTCGACATAGAATTTTTTTTTTTTAAGTACAAAAAAAGGTGATGAGCCAAAAAAACAAAAAAACAAAACAAAACAAAACCCGGTAAAAATTGACAAAAAAGGCGGACGCATGCAGTCTTCTTCGATTTTGTTATTTTTGACGAGCGCCTCGTTTCACCACGATGCCCCACAATTCTGATGGGTTGTAACATAAATTGACACAGGTATTTTTCACATTTTACACCCCTTCCAACCAAAAAAAACCCTCTCCCCAACAAATAAACAAAAAACGACAAAAACAAACCCTAAACAAAACACACACACACATACAGACACACACACACATACACACACACACACACAACAATATCTAAAAAACAAAACAAAAACAAAAACAAACAATCAATTAATAACACACACACAGAAAAGGAAAAAAAAAACACAAAGCAAAAACAACAATCAAACACACATACAAACAAACAAACAAACAAAGGTAATTACGAATAAACAAACAAGCAAACAAAAAAAAGGTAAATACGAATAAAGAAACAAACTCTCCATCGTCATTTTAATCTAGTTCAGTTTACATGTACACTCGTTCTCCTTACAGGGCAAGTAATTCTAACGACTCAGTGCCTGAGTGCGTCATCATTATGAGACTGTGATGGAAATCTTAATAAAGTCTTTAGCAACAATCTAGATCTCCAGAACACCTCTGTAAAAACTGCTGGAATCACAGTAAAGTCAACACAATACAACGCCATGGACTGTGTTCTCTGTGCTCAGAAAGTTTTTAACTACTGAGTTCCCGAAACGGCGCTTAAAAAAAGAAATAAACTCACATACTTTATCACAAGCTTATCTTTTCAACGTTTTTGTCGTGTGGCTGAGCCCCCACCCCTCTGTCTCTGTTATATCTCTCTGTCAAATATCTCTCTCTATCTTGTGGCTGAGCTCCCCCCCCCCTCTGTCTCTGTTATATCTCTCTGTCATATATCTCTCTCTATCTTGTGGCTGAGCTCTCCCCCCCCCCTCTGTCTCTTTTATAGTGGCTGAGCTCCCCCCCCCCCCCCTGTCTCTTTTATATCTCTCTGTCACCTATCTCTCTCTATCTCTTCACCTCTGTCTTCACTTCTATTTTCTACCACACTCCTCTCTACTACTACTATTACTACTACCACTACCGCTACCACAACCACATTGAATTTCAAATGAATGGAGAATATTATTGTATCTGCAATTAAAAGTATACTATTACAGTACCATACAGATTGGAAACTAGAGCAATCACAGAAACGACCCAAAACTTGGATTTCACATTAAACTACAACTAAGGATGATGATTTTATAGCGCTTACTGTGTGCACACGGGTCTAAGCTCTTACATAATAATAATAATAATATGGCATTTTTATAGCACTCAACCAAGATTTAAGTACACAGGCTCTGAGCCCTTTACAATACCGCAGTAACATAATATAATCAGTACAATAAGTCCTCACCTAAAAAAAACAAACTCTCTCTAAATATTTATCTCATTAATTTAAAAAAACTTCCTTGACTTTAGCTGGTACATGTAAGCCTATATGAAATAATTAATAAAGGATTTAATCTCTCTTAAAACTCTGGACAAAGCATTTCAGACTTTGGGGCCTTGATATTCATATGCCCTTTCACTCATTGTTTTAAGTTTCTTAGACGGTTAAAAAAAATCTTTTTGTCAGCTAATGACCCTTAACTGCGATTTGGAATGTACAGTTTCAACAGATTTGATAAATATGAAGACGCATTATCATTAAATCATTTGGTCGCCTCTAAGGACAAGCGGGCTAACCCAGATTTTGGGGATTTCCAGAAATCTTGACCCACACCAAAAGTGGGCATTGCCCTACCTATAAGAGAAGTTTAGTTTCATTGGTGTGTATATGTGTTAGATTATAGAGAAAACCCTTCTTATCTTTTAAAGAAACTGAACAAGGGGCAAAAGCTTTACCTTTGATTTTCTCAAAGCATCAATTTTCGGGATAGCCCCCTTGTGCCTAAAAGCGACCATTTGAGACTCCAAATGGCCAACTTGTACATACATCCAAGTACCGGGACAAAGAACAATAACTGAAAAAAAAAATGCTGATAATTACAAAAATGACATTCTCTCACACACACACAAACACACACACGCACACACATACAACACACACACACACACACACACACACACACACACACACACTATACAAACCTGCATACACACAAGCATACACACACACACACACAGACACAAACACACACTTTCTCTTGCATCACACACACATTCATGAGAGAGCCATACAAACACATGCAGTACATAGTGTAAAATACACAATGCGATAACAAAAGCGCATAAATATATAATATATTATACAGTGGCATCAAAAAGGAAACTTGAAAATATTCACCTAATCGTGTTAAATCATTGCACTACCCACTCATGCACCATACTGGTTTAAAGCTAGATGGCTTCGGCATTATTGGCCACATTAATGTGTCATCTAGGAAAAGGTTTGTCAGTGAGATAAGGTCACTCATAATTAATCTTTAGAAATTCAAACTAGACAAAATAGTGTGAAATCAAAGAAACTAAAAAGTGTGTTCATGCGTATATTGAGGAGCATCAACATTGATGGAATGAGCAAACATTGAATTTCAAACGAATGGCATCTGCAATTAAAAGTATAATATAGTACCATACAGATTGGAAAACAGACCAATCACAGAAACGACCAAAAACTAGGACTTCACATTAAAAGAGCTCGTCAGTATTGACTCTGTTTTAGAGACATTGGCTTCGAATAGAGCACAAACCCTTTTTGTGCAGGGCTTGTATGTTAGTTAGATTTTGCAAATAATCATGTGTCAGTGAGGAACAGAGGCCATGAAACTCCCATGGTTTGGAGTAGTTTAGCTGGACTGAAAAAAACCCCACTCAAGAGAATCTTTGTTCAGAGGACTATACCGAGCAAGAGCTGGAATATCACGTATTACTCTTATTTTCGTCATACTGTCATTCAAGTAAACACTTTTATGCATGACAAAGCACCTTTTCACCGGGCCAGTGCCACAAGACTGAAAGACGTTGATTCCTTTTACTATCTTGGGAGTATAACTGTCAGAGAAGGAGGAACAGGAGCTGAAATAAAGTCCGCATTGGAAAAGTACAGGCTGCTTTCATATCTTTGAATAGGATTTGGAAAACCAGGGATGTCTCACTTCGAACAAAGCTAAGGATTTTCAATTCAAATATGATGTTAGTCCTGTTGTTTGGAAGTGAGACATGGAACGCATCTCAGACCTGCATAAAAAGGATCCAGGTTTTCTTGAACAAGTGTCTAAGAAAGTTACCGAGGATCAGATGGACAGACAGGGTCATCAACGAGGAAATGTTAAGGAAAACAGCGCAGATCCCCACAGCGTAAAAGACCAAGGGGAAGACCACGTGGAACCTGGAGAAGAATCACAGAAATTGATGAACAGAAAAGTGGGAGGACAAGGAACAAACATCAAGAGGTTAGCCCAGGATAGAGAAAGGTGGAAAGTGATTGTTCGTGGCCTATTCTATACCCTGGTGAAGGGTCAGAAAGGCAATGATGATGATGAGTGCCACTAGACAATTCTTGAAAAACCAAATCATACAAAGGATGGGGTGGTCACCAGTAAATAGCCCTGATATGAAATCCTACAGACATGTTGAGCCCCATGAAACAACAGCTGAAGAAACACGACTTTTCTCCCAATCCAAACGCTTTGTTTGCAACTCTCTGTGACATTTGAGATGAACAGACAGATAATAATGTCCAAAATTTATCACAATCAATGCTCAATATATTTTTTTTCTCTCTTGCATATTTTTTTATACATTATAATGACAGTGTGTGCTTAAGACGTTCACCTGTCTTAGACAGCCTTTTGTCTCCTCCACATTGGGTGGTTTATTTAATATACATATTATAGCAGGTTGCACCAAATTATGACTATATTCTGAATAGCATCTTGAAATAACAATTTAAACATTTGAATAATCAGTTTTAACATGCCTAAATGATATTACAGTCAATAAAGGATGAGTTGATGTTGTTGAAGGTGTGAAGAAATGATCAACTCATCCAAAGTTCAACATAACCGTTGGGACCTGTAAAGAAGAAGAGGTGCTGGGACCCAAGAAGAAGGTCAACTCAACCGAAGATCAACTCAAGTGAGTTCAACACAATTGTTTCCTTCTATTGTTAAACTTATAACAAGAATTTTTTCTCCGATGTCAATGAAAAAAACCCAAAGAAATTCTGAGAAAGGACTAGCATTAGCAAATGAAAACATATTTCAAAGTTCCTTTTTGTCTACTGTAAGTTGTTGTTGTTGTTGTTGTTGTTATCGATCCAGCAGCAGGTGGGCTCTCGCCCTTCTGTCCAATGCCATGTAGTGATACGTGCAGGTTTGCTAGAGTTGCTGTAATGTTCCGTAGAGTGTGTTGTCAATGTTAGATCTCAGAGGGAGAAGTGTAGCTCTGATGCCATTTAGGGCTGTACAGTGGAAAAGGGGAAGTTCGGGTTTTATTCTGCTGGGAGAAATCTAACAGCTTGCATAAAAAGGTTCATCCACGATCACAGTTGGTATGAAATATTATTGTATTTAATGGCCTTATTTGAAATCAAGAGTATTTCTTAAAATTACTATCACAGTACATGTATAAGCAAAACATAACCACAGGATAATTAAAAATACACATAAGTGTAAAGAAAATGGCATAAAGGGGATAATAAATAGCTCATTCAACACAAAAACATAATAGTATTATAGTTGTTGTGAATAATTTTTTATTCCATTTATGTTGAGCTTTCAGATTATAAATACAGGCGACTATGGAAGAGTTGATGTCGTCGTGGGAGGGGAAAAAAGATCAACTCATCCAAAATTCAACTTAACCATTGGACCTGTAAAGAAAAACAGGTGGTATGACTCGAGAAAAAGGTAAACTGAACCGAAGATCAACTCAAGCGAGTTCAATACATGCGGAGTCGGCTATATGACAATCCTGCGGTAAGCTGACATATTGCTTTTCTTTAAAATTCACGGCAGTTTCGAGATAAAAAGGCTTTTTGTCATCGTAACCATTTTAAAAAGTCATTCTTTCAAAATTTGAAGCCTAATATTTTCAAAAAACTAATCACAGCTTCACTTTGCTTTTTTCACACAAGTAATTGGGTTTTCGATTTAGCAAATAAAAAAAAATTGGTGCCAAAAATGAAAAAAAGGCATTTTGTTGCTTTTGGAAGAATCCTGATTTGTCTTTTCAAGCAATATCTTTTTCAACGTCATAGTGTCATAGATTCATGTGAAAGGACTTTTCTCCCAGGCATGGGTGGCCCGTTTTTTTGCGCCTCAATCTGAGGTTGCAAATAAACATATTTTACAGTATAGTTCAGGAACATATTTTAGGATAGGTGTTAATCAACTTTCTTGGTTCAAACAAGCCACAACTTCCATTTGCTAACATGATAATTGGAAATGTTCAAAGCTAAAAAACTGTTCACAAGCAAGGAGCCATATATAGAAATAGAATTTTAAAATTTCAAACGTCCTCTTAAACTTATACAAATTATGAAGACATGGATTACTGTGAGCTTTGGTGCATTTTAAGTCATCACTTTTTTGTGACTCTATATATCATTGTTTAACAAAGACAAAGAGGAAAATAAATGCTCATTACTTAATACTACTATACAGACCAGAACCATTCTCTTATATATGCCTAGTTAAGACAAATTGATACAAGATTACAGGTAAAAGTTTGAGAGAAACTGGGGCTTATAGTCAAAAGTTATCTGCAATAAAACCCACAAAAAATATGATTTTTAAAAATCGGAGGAGCTAGTCTATAGTAAAATCTATTATTCAATAAAGAGCAATGTTTTCTGGACAAAAATTTTCTTACTGCAATAGATTAAAATCATTTTTTTAAAAAGCTACAGGTTGCTGAAACTTTTTTCTGAAGTTGTTTTGACAAAATCAAAGTAAGGAGATGCAAAAATTACTCTTTAGAATTCGAAAATCTTTCTAGATGGCAAAGGACTTATCTCATCAGAAAACTGTAAGCCATTAGAACCTCTGCAATCATCACAAAAGCATTCCTTCACAAAGCTGTCCTGATATAGTGCCAGGTCTTGCCACTGAGACACACATAAGCGTGCCCATTGACCCTGAAATAAAAGCTGGTCTTTAAACCGATCAGGAAGGCCCGAAGAGCGTATTCTTTGTTCCCGGTCAGACCCAGTTCCCATGGAGTCAGACGAAGCTACGAAACTTAAAGTGAACAGTGTCAGTGGTTTTGACCGGAATCTCTGTAACAAGTCAAGGGGTTGCCGGCAAACATACTCTGAAAGAATATTAAGCAATTTAGGACAGCTCCTTAATGTGGTGACATCGTAACGAGTCAGGAAGCGTATTGCAATAAGATATGTGGCCAAATTGCTGTTCTTAGACAAGAAAGCAACACACAGGGGAGAAATAGGCGTGCCCATGTAAGGGAAGTCAAAAACCACATGTTTACAATCCCTCAGTGTGGGAGCACATCTGTTCAGAATCATGTACCTTGCTATGACATTCTCCCCCCTAGCTGCTGCCTCATGCAAAAGCATTTGGTCATTTGGAGAAAGAGTCACATTAGCACCTGCCTCCAGAATTCTACGTGACAATGGAAGCATGTGTTGATCAAAAGACAATCTGAGGGCAGTTTTCCCAACTCTGTTTACAATATTGACGTCCGCGAAACAGTCTAACAAGAGCTCTGCACACTTCTCCTCCTTTGATTGCAGAGAGAGCATGAGTGCGCTACTCCCATATCTATCAACACAATTAATCAGGTTTGTGGCTTGGGATCTAGACAGACTTTCTCTGCTCTCAAGTGAAGAAGCATCATCAGATGTTTGAATGGCATTTGTTAACAATATCTCCAGACATTCAATCTCCCCGCTCATGGCAACTCTCATTACAGCAGTCCTACCCTCAATATCAGTCTTTGTCAGATCGCTGTGATTTTCTATAAGGTACTGTAAACACTTGATATTCCCCCAAATTGCCGCTAACATCAAACTGCTACAACCATGATGATCCACTAGGTCACTATCAGCCCCACGTTCTATCAACATCTTCAAACAGGTAATGTGTCCCTTCTCTGCAGCCAGCATGCATGCGGTGGTCCCAGTAACATTACGAGCATCCAGCGCCGATTTCTCACAATGGCGGGTCAGCACGTCAACACACTCATGTTGACCCAGATTGCAGGCCTCCATGAGCACAGTTGAACCGCTCTCAGTGTCATTGTGAAATCTGTCACGTGCACGACCACCTTCCAGTAAGAGTCTTTGAAGTTCTTTGACATCATTTTGAAAAACAGCGTCCCTCAGTTTTTCCACCAACATATTATGACTGGGCATTGACGGTGACGGACCGTCTGAACGCGTCACAACTGAGCGACTTCGGAATGAAAGCGGCATTATTTCACTTGAAACAACTCAAATAAATATGTGTTCACTGACAAACGTCTAAAGTATTCACTGACAAACGTCTAAAGTATTCACAAGCTAAACTTTTAAGTATGTCAATTGAACATGCTCTTATGACCACCCTTCCAAGACCTGCACAAACGACCACTTTCCCCTTCCCTCCTTGTGTTTTGAAACTATTACAATGGCACTGTCCGGGATGTCCACCTGTCTAAGACAACCACTGTTTTCCTCATCAATCAGTGGCAGTCTTAGGCAATTTTGACTGTAGGCCCTATATCAGTCTCACATTCTGCAAAAGGGGCACAAAGGCAATTAACAATTTCTCAAGGTCAGAAAAATATGCTTTTGTTCGACATTAATCTGTCTTCAAGCTTTGTTTATGACCTCACAAAGTTTTATAAAGTGCACTATCCAATACTGAATACAGTTTGTGCACACTTGTCAATACATTTTCACCAAGTTTAGATCTTTATCATTCATAACATCTGCAATCAGGAAATCACAAATTGTAATTCAGTTTTCCTTTCTCCTTACGACCACGGTGGTACTTGATATATAACGATATATAAGTATGTCCAGAAGAATGAATTCGTCAAATTACACGATATGACAACTGTAAAAACCAGCATCCCCATTATCAGCTCACAGCATGGTGACATCAGCACGTAGCATGGTTGACATCAGTTCATAAAATGGATCTGCTTCACAGTTGTATGTCGAAGAAAACCTGCAGAAAAAGATCATAATAAGATATACAGGGTTGGTAATGAGAAATAGGGGTTTGGGGGGGGGGGGGGGGGGGGGGTGTATAGGGACACTTATCTAGGACATACAGCAGAATCAAAGAATACTAGAAAAAAAATCTGGATTAAAGTACAAAAAGTAGCAATTATTTAAAGTTTATTAGAATTTCAAGGATTAAAAAAAAAAAAGGTGGCAGTATATTTCGTGTATAGACCTACCTACATTCACTCCCATTCAATTTTGTATGAGATAATGTACAAATCTTGTGGATGAAACCCTCTCTTTCTATAATCTCCCCCCACCTCCTCTAATTTTTGTTGTCTTGTCCTCCTATGATAACGATAGCAACATTATCTGCTACAGTAGGTTTACAATAAATTCTTGAGTCGTATCTCTCATGCAGCGAAAGAGCTTTCTGCAGCAGGCATTCGGACAGACATGCTCGGCTCGTAACATCAAAATAATAATTATTATTAATATTATAATAATTATTACTATTATTATTATTATTATTATTATTTACAGGCTATTATTAAAGATTGGTCCAGATAATGACTAAATCCTAAAACAAATGGACAACAAATCAGAATATAAGGAAATGAAGCAAATAAACGATCAAACTGACCAATTCTACCTGGGTGGTTCACGCAGTAGTCTTTATATTGATTGTGTAAACATATTGATTTTATGTGTCATGCAGAGTGTGCATGGGAGGGAGAAAGAAACTTTTTCTGGTATTGATGCAGACGATCCAATCGGTAAATTACTTAGTGTGACCTTGGTCTGGCACCTTGCCATACAGCTAGTGTCACCTTGTCTCCTTGTGGGGTGGCGAGACTTATAACAGGGATAAATGACTCAATGAAAATTGACACTTCGACAGTGTGTCGTAGACCTGTGTGTGCTCCTTTTCCCAACTGTGGCAATCATTTCATTAGTAATAGTTACAGCAAACAAAGCATTCTATCTGTAAATTATGGATATGCGTAATATAAGTGCAATTATCATTTTTTAAAAATTACCTGTGCATCTCAAATGATGTCTAGTCAACCTCCATGAGACTAATAAGTAGGCCTATACTGATACTATGAAAAGAAAGATAAGATGAGGAAAAGAAAGAAGCAATAACTGATAAAGTAACATGTCACTGAGTAACCTATATATAATAAATATGATCCAATACAGTGATTATTAGTTATAGAGAATGTAAATTCGATCACCTAATATAACCGGATTTGGCTTTAACAAAGGTGACATAATAATATAATCCCAGAGGTCTTATAACTATAGCCATGGCTCATTGCATTAAACTTTATGGGAGAAAAATAAATGAAAAAGGCCTGACTAGAGTAATATCACCAACCCTGTGATATGAGCCAATATTGCTTCTAGTAAAGTTTCTAGTCAAGATGAAAATGGGGAGTCTTCGCCAAATGAAACTTGTTGGGTGTGGCTTTGAGACAGACCTGGTTTAACTTCTAAACAAGCCCCCCCCCCCCCCCCCCCTCATTAATTAGTTCATATGTGGAATTTTTAAATATCTGCGGGTATTTTAAATACTATAATATGTGCTTATATATTCAACTAAGATCTGGACCTAAACCAATAAACCTAAATTCCTAAATGTCGATTCCAGATCTGGGTCTAGCAGTGATTGTGCTACAATATATTATGCTTGTCAAACTCATTCATTTACCAGTTGGTATTAAAGATCTAGAAAAGAATAGCAACAGAGAATTATAATGCATTGTAAAACAAAATGAAGTGGCTAGGGAGAACGGCTAGCCTGCAAGTCTTGCGCCGTATTTAAGTACGGGTAGCCTACCCATCTAGCCGTACTTAGGTTAGGCCCTAATTGACCGAATCCTGTTGATTACACAGATTTCATTAGTAGGCCCTAATTATATTTAGGTTTAACATACATGTATCTCATCAAGGATCCTTTGGTTTCATCTGAAATACAAATACTTTAGGTGTATTGCAAACTAAAATTTTATTTACTATATCAGCAATCATTATTAAGTAGGCCTACGACTAGCCTGCCACTCTAGCCGTCATTAAGTATAGCTAGCTTGCCAGTCTAGCCATACTTAGGTTAGGCCCTATTTACTGAAACCTGTTGAGTAGACCTACACAGGTCTCATATAGGAATATTCAGGTTTAAAATACAAGCATGTCTGTTGGCACTGCTTTTGGTTTTGACTCAAATTCAAATACTTTAGGTACTGCAAACTAAAAATTTATTTACAATTTAATATTTTTTTGCTGTTTGTCAGTAGCCACCATTATTAATATCAAGAAGGCTATGGCTATTCTAGCCGTCTAGCCGTCATTAAGTAAGGCTAGCCTCTTCAAAAATGCTAATTATAGCTATGCATTTTGCAGTGATAGTGTATCCTGATTTTGAGCCTATAATTATGCCTAACTATATAATATAGGCCTATGACATTTTAGAAAATAGTTTGTAGTACATGACTACTCCTAAGTCTAAGGCTATTAAGAAATTTAATCACTGACAAAAGTAAGCTTTATTACAGAAACACTGATTGTTATGCGGCGATTGTCATTAAAAGAACGAAGTGACCTATTTCTCCGAACGCTCTGGAAAATAAACTTTATCTCTATTTCTCCAAACGGTTTCAGCTCTTGAGATTTTTTTGTTATTTGCAAGATTTAAGCGTCATCTTTAATTCTGCCATTCTGCGAGGACTGGGAAGAAGCATTTTTAACGGTCGAATTCAATTTCGAATCAAGAGCAAGAAACTAGATTTTTAGATCTAGAGATTTTTAAATGTCTGAATATTCAAATACTTCAGTTGTGGTTGGGAAGTTCCTGGACTATACTTCATTCAAAAATGCTTTCAAAAGGCACTGCGAGAAAAAAGGACAGCTCGACCTTGGCAGTAACCTGTTCTGCATTTAGTCACCCCTAAAGCAAATACTAAAATTCTTCATGTAAAAATAAAAATCCCTCCACGTCCCCCCATCCCCCCGGGCCCACGCATCGTTCACACCATATATACACACACACACACATACACACACGCACATACACACACACTCACACACATGCACACTCACTCTCTCACACACTCATAAACACATACACACATGGGCGCGCGGGCCACTCTTTTCGCAAATTATCAACAAATCTCGAGATCGGAAACGGTTCGGAGAAATAGAGTTCAAGTTTAATTATTTTCCCAAGTGTTCAGAGAAAGCGAGCCAGCCTTAAAAGAATTTAAGGTAAATTTTTACTATCACTCCTGCACACATAGATGCTTCGGGGGGTCAACTGCAACGACTGTTTGCTGCAGATGGACACATGAAGCCACTAAAACTGTCGCAAATCAATTGATTGCAAGAAAATTTCAAATCTAACTGTAAAATATCAAATTATGGGTTAAAACTGGGATGCCCTCCAGTAACCCCCGAGATTTTATTTTACCTCCGGGGGGGGCCCCCCCCCTGGAACCCCCCGATTGGTCCAATCGTCTATTTCGATAAAGAACAATCAGATCAAACACTATTAATTTGCGACGGAAAAGCAGTTGATAATCGTGTTCAGTGCATCAATATTTAGCAACAAATGGACAACTGGTAGATCTAGATCTAGCTTGTGAGACGGGAGGGAAAGTAAAAAGAAATACCGAATTTATAATAAGGACTTAAATTACTATAGTATAGATCTAGATCTAGATATCAGATTGCAAGAATTTGGTGAATTTGAAATTGAAATACTGGAGTACCGAATCAGAAGCAATGCCCTTTGACACGATAAATAAACAAGCCTAACGTTAACGAGGAACATTTTCGATTAAAATTAAGCAAAACCAAAACAAAAGCCTAAAGCAGGCAAGACGAGCGAATCTTCTAGATTCTAGATCTAATATCTAGATCTAGAGAATCTAAGTACTTTAACTTCAGTGAATTCAGTGCAAAATACAGAAGAAAGAAGTGAAGAAACACCAGACAAACTGCGAGGTAAATGCGTTTCACTTTTATCACCTGTTAAAATCGATCTAATCAATAATAAAGTGCAGTCGTGCACATCAGACGATTGTTTTCATCCCTTCACTTCGGTGAACTGCCACAAGCAGATCTGGGAAGTTCTTGCCCGAAAATAGAACGGGATTTCCGTTTATAATCTGATCTGACGTAGACGTTATAAATAGGCCTAGTCACGCGTACCATCATGATTATTATGGTCCATAATTATTATTTATGTTATTGTCAAGGAGCTTTGTTGAGTTGTGTTCAGAACTCTTTATTTGACTTGATAACGCACAGAAGATGCGGGTACAGACTTGCTAGTTTATTAGAACCATAGCAACGGACGTTATTGAACAATATGCCCAATGGGCCTAACTTTACACATACCAGGTTTCTCTAATGGGATAAGTTAGAGAGTTACTTATAGACTTAGAATGTTTGGTACAGAAATTGCACTACAGAGATCGTGTACATCAACATCCCCCCTTGTTTAAGTTTTAACTACTGGATAGCACTGTCAACATAATAGGTCAGCACAATAAAGAGAAAATAGTGAATAGCATTATCTTTTGACTTATTCTTTAAAACATTAACACTTTATAACACAAATAAAATGTTCATTGGTCTTGATCTTGAATCTTGGTCTTGAGAATAAAAACAGTCTCTTTAGTTATAGTTCTATACTCGTATTTGCTGGTGCCATCTTTTTGTTTGTGTGTAGTATGTGTACATGTATTCATATCTTCACGAACACTTCGGTGACTTTTGTTTCTGGTTGTGTGGCCATCATATTCTTGTGTAGAAAATGTCATGCTGGTTTGTATGCTGTTGTGGACCGCACATTGCTATGCTAGTGATAAATAAAAACACATGAATTTTTCAACAGGCCATATTTCCCTTTCGGGGTGATCGTTGAATGCAGACTTAAATTCTATGTGTATTTGGGATTTGGTTTGACAGTGCGGCCACTTCTGGTGATTTGGGGTTTGTTTTGAGCATTGCTGCTAGGACGAGGCATAGAGGGTTTCAAGCTTGTGGGCTGTGAAACGGTTGGTTGCTGAGTGTTGCTCGTCCCATCAAGCATTGGCCTTGGCAGGTTCACCTCACGACGGATCGACGTTTCTTCGCTGCCAGTAGATGCAGAGGTCATAGGTCTGGCTTTGCTGCGATCATCGGTTTGGGCTACACCATCATGGGTTGGGTCATCGTGCTCTCGAGTCGGCATCGTTCCAATCTTGGTAGGTTGATTTGGGGATCTCCATGGCGTGCACTTTGGCCTTAAATGCACCCGGTTTCGGATGTAGATACCTCCGGATTCTCCCTGGATCTTGTAAGACCTGTCGCTTACTTTATCGGAGATTCTCCCTGCATGCCAGCCTTTCTTCTCTGGATTCTGGTACCAGACTGACTGGTGGTTCTGTAGAGGTGGTTTGTCTTTAGCCTGTTTGTCAAACGTGGTTTTCACACTGACGTCTCTACGTCTGCTTTTCTCAGAAAAAACAATCTTTTTCCTCCTGATGTTTGGAAGCAGAGTTCTGAGAGATCTCTGGAACACTATATTGGCTGGGATGGCGCCATCTTGACGAGGAGTGCTCCTCAGTTCCAGTAGGCCTTCATACTGGTCTTCCCCTCTCTCCAAACATTTCTTCATCATCCCTTTGACAGTTTTCACTGCTGATTCTGCCTTGCCATTGGCTTGGTGGTGACCAGGAGAGGACGTCACGTGTGAGATATTCCATCGAGCAACAAATGACTTGAACTGTGCTGATGTGTATTGAGATCCACAGTCGGAGACCAGAATTCTCGGTACGCCGTATCTGGCAAAATGGGCTTTGAGTTTGGTGATTACTGCCTCTGTTGATGCCGTAGGTAAGTAATCTACCTCAATAAAGTTGGAAAAATAGTCGACGGTTACGAGGTACTGTCGATTTTTTATTTAGAAGATATCAGATCCAACTTTATCCCAGGGTCTGTCTCCTTGCTCGTGCTGTCTCAGGGTTTCTTTCTGGTTTCTTGGTTTTGTTCTCTGGCAAGCTTCGCAGGATTCTGCAATCTGCTTGACTTCAGCTGCCATTCCGGGCCAGAAAACAACTTCTCGTGCTCTTCTCAGCATACTTTCGGTTGACAGGTGAGCGGCGTGCAACTTTCTTTTGATTTCTTCTCTCATTACCTTTGGGACTAGAACCTTCTCTCCCTTCAGTATCAGTCCGTCTTGCCAGCTCATCGTGTCCTTGTAGTCATAAAATGGTCGTGCCGCCACAGGCACTTTTGATTTGCTGTCAGGCCACCCATTTCTGATGACACTTACTAGTGTTTGTAGCTCTGTGTCTTTGCTTGTCTCTGTCTGTAGTTTATCCAACATCGCGTCAGGAATGCTGCTCCTTGTTTCAGGGATTTCTGTTGCATCCACGCTCTGGATCGCAGCTCTGGACAGTGTGTCGGCGATGAGGAGTGAGCTTCCTTTTGCCCATGTCAATGAAAAGTCATATCGGTTACTCCTCATGATCAATCCTTGGAGTCTTCTTGGGGCTTCGCTGAGTGGTTTCCTAATGATGGTTTCCAGGGGCTTGTGGTCAGTGGTCACGTACACTTGCCGTCCAAATGTGTACTGGTCGAATCTTTCCAGACCAAACACCACAGCCAGCATCTCCTTCTCAATCTGCGCCCATCTTTGTTCAGTCTCTGTTAGGGTTCGGGACGCATATTCCAGTGGCTGACCATCTTGCATCAGGCAAACACCTAAACCATCCTTGCTGCTGTCTACTTGGACTTCCAATGGCTTGTTTGGGTCATAGAAGATCAGGACTGGAGTTTCCGTGATCATCTTTTTAACCTCAGATACAGCTCTCTCGCACTCTTCCGACCAGACAAACTGCGTGTCTTTTTTAGTCAACCCTCTCAGAGGTTGCAGTTTGTCCGAGAGTCCACTCAAAAATTTGGCCAGGTATTGCACCATACCGCAGAACCGCCTAACGTCATGGACATCCTTCGGGGTTGGCATGTTGACGATAGCTTCAACTTTCTTCTTGTCTGGTTCTATGCCTCTGGCGCTTATCATGTGACCCATAAATATAACTTCTGTGCACTTTTCCTTTGCCTTTTCTTCGTTCAGCTTGATGTCCCTCTCTCGACATCGCTGCTTCAGTTCCTCACATTTTCTGTCGTGATCTCTCCCAGCATCTTCAGCTGTTGATCCGTTGCCGATCACGAGGATGTCGTCTGCGACGTTGACAATGCCTTCGAGGTCTTCTAGGGCTGTTGCGAGATGTCTTTGGAATATTTCACTTGAGACATTCAGTCCAAATGGCAATCTTGTCCAACGAAATCTACCGATAGGTGTAATCATAGTAGTCAACTTGCTTGACTCTGTGTCCAGTTTAATATGCCAGAATGCTTCCTTCACATCCAGTTTTGTGAAGATCTTGGCATCTTTGAACTTTGGCAGGACAGCATCCAATGTTGGGAGCTTGTAATGTTCCCTCTGAAGAGCCTTGTTGAGAGGTCGAGGATCTATGCAGATTCTTAGTGATCCATTTTGTTTCTCCACAATGGCCATTTGGCTCACCCATTCTGTGGCCTCTGTGACTTTCTTCAATATTCCTCGCTCTAACAAATTGTTCAACTCTTCTTTTACTTTGTCCTCCAGCGCAAATTGGACTTTTCGGCAGGGCAGCACTTGTGGTCTGATGCTGGGATCTGTCTTTAAACGAACTGTTCCCAGCGTTCCTGGTTCCTCTTTGTTGACCCAGGCGATCATATTCTCCTTGTTGATGGTGATGAAACCAAAATCTTCACAGGATGACAATCCAAGCAGGCAGTTTAAGTTGTTCTCTACAACTGTGAACTTGACAGGGACTTGCTGGCCCGTTCATTTGTTCGTCACCACAAGTGTTGTCTCTCCCACCGGCTTCATCTTTGTCCCATTCCACATCACTAAGGTGTGTCTCGACTTCGACACCTGTTCTTTCTGCACAAATCGCTGCTGGATTGTGTTGACATCGGCTGCAGTGTCGATCTGAAATCTCACCTGACGGTCGTTCACCGTGAGGCAAGCCGTTGCTCTCTGATTTGCGCTTACTGCCTGGACTTTCTTTCCTCGGCTTTTGCTTCTAGTGGAGACCTGTTGGACTGCATTGAGCCATTTCTGTCGAGACCCATGCTCCCATTCTTCCTGAGGATCGTTCACATCTTCCTCTTCAAATTCAAATTCGAGTGAATGGATTCTCTTGCATTTAGCTCGAAAATGATTTCTTCCCCCACAGTGGGAGCATGTCTTGCCCCATGCTGGGCACTTTTCTTTCTTGGCCTCGTGCTGCTTTCCACAGAAGTGTCATTCCATCCTACTGGACTTGGATACTGGCGCTCCATTAGGGTAGCTCCTGGACTTTGGGGGTGGATTTCTTCCTTTGAAAGGCCTTGACTTGACCATCACCTTTTCCACTTTGTGTGGGTGGTCCGTCATCTCCCTCAGGTTGCTGCTCGTCTGTTCATACGCTTGACAGATTTCGACTGTGCGCTTTAATGAAATTTCCGGCTCTCTCAGGAGTCTTTCTTTAATTACCCTTCCCACAGTGAATACTATCTTGTCCCTCAACATCTTGTCCTTCTCTTTGAAGTTGCATTTTTCTGCCTGAGCCTTTAAAGTTGTTGTAAACTTGTCGAAGGGCTCGATGAGGGGTAACTTCCAAAATCGGTACCGCTCCAAAACCTCATTATTGATGGGTTTGCAATACTCTTCGAGCTTTTGCAGTAGTGTCTCAGGGTCATCTCTGTCCTCTTCTGCTGTAAAATCTAACTGGTCCACCACTTCAATTGCCTCTGGACCTGCACAGTGGAGTATCACAGCCGCTTGTGTTTTGTTGGGCTTGGCACTCGCTCCCGTTGCTTCCAGGTAAATTTGGAGCAGCCTCTTCCACTTTCTAAACTGGTTCTCCAGGTCACTATCACTCATCTGGAGTGTAGGGGGCAATCTGAAGTTGGATTCCATTTTAGAGATCTATCAGGATCAGGTTCAGTAATAAATTTGCAGAGCGAAATCGCCTTGGCCCGAATCAGTTTATTAAAACCATAGCAACGGACGTTATTGAACAATATGCCCAATGGGCCTAACTTTAAACATACCAGGTTTCTCTAATGGGATAAGTTAGAGAGTTACTTATAGACTTAGAATGTTTGGTACAGAAATTGCACTACAGAGATCGTGTACATCA